CCCAGAGTTCAAACCCCACAGCTGACAAAGAAAAAAAATTATATACACACACACACACCTAGACATATTCCACCCTTTAGTAATCACAACACCAGTAAAGATGAACATATGCTTGTAATTTAAAAACATTTCAACAGTGAAGATTTAAAGAAAAACTAGAGCCAGGGGCTAGTGACCTGTGTCTGTCATCCTACTTACTCATAAGGTTGAGATCTGAGGATCCTGGTTGGAATCCAGCTCAAGCAGGAAAGTTAACCACCAGGAAACCAGAAATGGTGCTGTGGCTCAAGTGGTAGAGCACTAGCCTTGAGCACAGAGAGGCTCAGGGACAACAGCTCCCAGGCCCAGAGTTCAAGCTCTAGAGTGGCAAAAAATAATAAAGAAGGAAAGAAAAAGAAAAACTAGGAGCCCTGGGCAGGGGGTGGAGCTCAGTGGTAGAACACTTGCTGAGCATGCGCAAGGCCCTGGGTCCGTCCCTAGTGCCACACATATGCATGCACACACATGCGTGCGCACACACAACACATGCTCACACATGCACACACACACATCTCAGAACTCCATCCACACCCCAGAACAGTAACCAAGATCGACGTCTCCATTTTCAGGATTTTTTCCCCCTTCTTGGTGTCAAAGCCACATGCAGGAGATATGTCAGGTTGCTTCAAACCCCAGCTCTGCCCTGGGTCACGGGTGACTGCGCAAGTTCCCTCCTTGCTCTGATCCTCACTTTCTCCCCTGTACAGCACAGACAAGGCACATGCCTGGGGGTGCAGCCTGCCCTCCCCAGAGCACCCCGAGGAAGCAGCTGCTCCCCCCCCCCCCACTGCGGCTGACCCAGGGTTTAGGTATTTAATGCGTTAAGCGAGAAAGACAGAGCGGGTTTTGCGCTGCTCTGGTCTTTGTGCAGGAAGCACACTGCAGGCTGGGTGAGGCCGGCCAGGTCTCTCCCCTAGAACAGGGGCCATTCCTCTCACCCCCTCCTGACGCTCCTTTCTTCAAGCTCATTTTCCCGCCCCCTGGGTATTTACCAGAGTAGAAATTGGGCCCCTGGTCCCTGGCTGGAATTCCCCTCCCACCCCGCTTAGGCTTCCAGGCCAGCTGGGACGTGGGTCCAGCCAAGGATCAGGCTGTGGGAGGGACGGTGCTTATCTCTCTGGGTTTTGTTCTGAATACAAAAAACAGTATAACACTACTGCTTGTATTTAGGACAACTGAACAGAATGGAAATGCCAGCCTGAACCCCACTACCCACGCCACTTGGGCCACACCTCTACTTCTGGCTTTTCGCTGGTTAACTTTGCTGCCTGGGCTAGCTTAGAACCTTGATCCTCAGATCTCAGCCTCCTGAATAGCTAGGATGACAGGCATGAGTGCTGGATCCTGGTACAATACGCTGTTAAAGTAGATGTTAGACACAAAGCTACACACACAGAAAGTCAAGCGATTGTCAATTTCTGCTCTAAACACTACTAGACAGCTAGTTCCAGCTCCTGGATCATTACTCCATTTCCTATTTCCCTCATTGTCCGTGCAGTCAAATATGGCCAGGGACTTCATTCATTCATTCATTCATTCACTCAACCTATGCTGGCCGAGTGTGTGTACACAGGCATGAGCTGGGCAAGCACATCTCTGCCAGGATGAGCCTCAAGCGCTCCCCACTCTGCGCAACTGATGTGCAGCTGCTACAAAAAATAAAGCACATTGTGCCAGAGAAACAGAAAGCAGGGTGCGGCGACCAGGGAACAAAAGCTCCACACAGTTATAAAAGGTAGAAGATGAAACTTTCTTGATATCAGTTATAGACACTGCACACTCCGTTCTGGCATCTTCTGTAACATTGTATACATTGTTAACTGTTCATTTATAAAAAGGGAACATTGGCAGTCAAAACTGGTAGTGCACACCTGTAATCCCAGCATGGCAGAGACCAAGGCAGGAAGATCATGAGTTTGAGGCCAGCCTGGGCTGCAAAGACTCAGTCTCAAAGAAAAACAATCACAAATAAAATAGTTTGGGCGCTGGTGGCTCACGCCTGTCATCCTAGCTACTCAGGAGGCTGAGATCTGAGGATCACAGTTCAAAGCCAGCCCAGGCAGGAAAGTCCATGAGACTCTTATCTTGTTTTTTTTTTTTGCTGGACGTGGGGCCTGACTCTGGGCCTGGGCGCTGTCCCTCAGCTCTTCAGCTCAAGGCTAGCACTCTACCACTTGAGCCATAGCACCTACTTCCAGCTTTTTCTGTGTATGTGGTGCTGAGGAATCGAACCCAGGGCCTCACGCATGCAAGGCAAGCACTCTACCCCTGAGCCACGTTCCCAGCCCCCCAGCCCAAGACTCTTATCTTGTATTAACCACCAGAAAACTGGAACTTGAAGAGGAGCTATGGCCTCAAGTGGCAGAGTGCTCGCCTTGAGCAAAAGAGCTCAGAGCCAGCGCCCAGGCCACAACTCAAGCCTGTGACCAAACAATAAACGTAAGCCAGGAGCTGGTGGCTGGTATGTATAATCCCAGCTACTCAGGTTCAAAGCCAGCTAGGGCAGACAAATTCAAAGACTCTCATCTCCAATTAACTAGCAAAAAGCCAGAACTGGAGGTGTGGTTTGAGAGGTAGTGTGCCAATATTAAGTGAAAAACCTAAACAAAAGCAAAAGGTCCTGAAGTCCTGTCACAACACACACACACACACACACACACACTGGAAGAAAGAAAAGAAAGAAAAACAAGTAATGGTTTGTTAGAGCTGTCTGCTCAGCCATGTTGGCTCTGCCAAAGAAGGGAAGGTTCTACAATTCTTTGGGGAGGGTTGTAGTATAATTTTACTTCAATTTACCACACTGGCTAGCTGTAAATCCCACAGGGAGTTTTAATGACTTAAGGAGAGTAGAGGCTCTCTGCGGGAGGGCGGGGCCTGGGTTAAACCCCTTACTACTGGCCAAGCTCTCCAGGCAACTTCTCCTGGAAGGGCCGCAGCTGCCTCTTCACAGGAAACGCTCCTGTACCACAGCCAAGCCCCAGTGCGAAGTTTCAAAACCCTGAAAAGATTATTTTTTAATCCCTATTAACCTGACATGAAAACAAAAGACCAGAAACAGAGGCCTGCATAGCTTCAGATAGAAATCAACCTACACTGATGAAGTCTGCACACTGATGCGGCCACATCTGTTTCACAGAACAAGTCTAAGGAGAAAGAGAGAACAAGAGGAAAGAAAGAAAGAAGGAAGGAACAGAGGGAGTGAAGGAGAGAGGGGCGGAAGGAGGGAGGGTGGGGTGTGCTGGGATGGATCAAGGGCCCCATATATACCAGAGCTACCACTGAGGTATTCCCCATCCCATATGCATGCCTGTGTACGTGCATGTGTGCATGCACGCATGCGTGTGTGTGTGTGTGTGTGTGTGTATGTGTGTGTGAATGTGTGAGTGAGTGATTTGAGTAGCGTTAAACCCTTAGAGACCCTTGCTAGACCACCACCAAGCCCCAGTTTTGGGGCAGCGTGGGTAGCAGGTATCAACATTACAATAACTATTTTATTTTTGGCTGTGTGGCTGTTTTTTCTTTCCTTTTACATAGTATCGTTAGGGGCTGGGAATGTGGCTTAGTGGTGGAGTGCTTGCAGCCCATGCTGAAGCCCTGGGTTCCATTCCTTAGTACCACATACCCGGAAAAAGCCCTGAGTTCAAGACCCAGGACTGGTAAAAAAAAAAAAAAAAAGAATTATCTTTAGTCTGGTGCTGTTGGCTCACACCTAATATACTAGCTATTCAGGAGGCTCAGATCAAAGTTCAAAGCCAGCCCAGGCAGGAAAGTATGTAAGACTCTTATCTCCAATTAATCACCAGAAAACTGGAAGTGGCGCTGTGGCTCAAAGTGGTAGAGTGCTTGCCTTGAGCAAAGGGGACAGTGCTCAGGGACAGCTCCGAGGCCCGAGTGAGTTAAAACCCTATGACTGACTGATCTTTTTTTTTTTTTTTGCCAGTGTCGGGTTTAAACTCATGTCCTGAGCGCTGTCCCTGAGCCTCTTTTTGCTCAAAGCTAGCACTCTACCACTTGAGCCACAGCGTCTCTTCAGACTTTTTCTGGTTATGTGGTACTGAGGAATCGAACCTAGGGTTTCTTGCTTGCAAGGTAAGTACTCTACCACCAAGCCACCTTCCTAGCCCAACTTTTTTTTTTTTGTTTAAGTAGCTGCACAAAGGAGTTTCCAGTTGTATGGGTTTGTTTGTTTGTTTGCTTGCTTGTGTATTTTGGTACTAGAGCTTGAATTCAGGACCTGGATATTGTCCCTTAGATTTTTCAATCAAGGATGGCACTCTACCACTTGATTCACACCTCCACTTTTGACTTTCTGCTCATTAGTTGAAAATAAGAGTTTTTCAGATTTGTCAACCCTGGGGCTGGTTCTGAATGGAAATCCTCAGGCTCCTGGGTAGCTAGAATTACAGGTGTGAGTCACCAGCACCGGGCAAAACAGGCTGTATTTTTGGAAATACAGCAAAAGGGCTTTAAAGCTCACAATCTCTGACCCAGCCATTCTCCTTGGATTATGCCCGAGAAAAATTATCAGGAAGTCACCAAGACTTCTCGGTGGAAAGCCAGGCTGGACAGGGAAGTCCATGAGACTCTTATCTCCAGTTAACTACCTAAAAGCCAGACATGAAGCTGTAGCTCAAGTGACAGGGCACTCACCTTGAGCACAAAAGCTCAGTGGCCAGGGCCCTGAGTTCAAGCCCCAGGATTAGCAAAAGGAAGCAAAAAAGAATAGAATTCCTGCCCTCAGCCAGCTCTTCCGCCCCGCGGGCCGCAGCGGCTCACCTGGCCCACCGAGGAGCCACTTCCACACTCGGTGCTCACCCAGCACCACCCTTCTCCAAGGATCATGTCTTGGAACAGGGGCCTTGGCTTCGGTCCGTCACGTCCCCAGGAACACGCCTGCCTGTCCACACCCTTCTGGCCGCTGCGTCCCCCGAGGCCGTGCACGCAGGCGCGGGGGTGCTCACCTCCTCCTCAGATGGGTAGAAGCCGATGGCGCGCATGACGAAGGGCAGCTCGGACAGGTTGATGTGCTCCGAGGGCCTCCTGCTCTCCATCGTGTCGATGCCCTGGCTGCGGAGCTGCGAGTAGTAGAAGTAGTCCTCCAGCTCCTGGGTGCCGTGACAGGGAAACCAGCGCTCAGGGGGCCTCCTGCGGCCGCCATGAAGGCTTCAAGGGTGTTTTCTCTCTTGTGTTGTTGTTGTCGGTGGTGGGGCTTGAACTCTGGGCCTGGGCGCGGTCCCTGAGCTCTTCAGCTCAAGACCAGCACTCTACCACTTGAGCCACAGCACCGGTTTTCTGGTGGTTCACTGAAGGTAAGAGTCTCAGGGACTTTCCTGCCTGAGCTGGCCTTGAACCGAGATCCTCCGATCTCAGCCTCCTGAGTAGCTAGGATGACAGGTGTGAGCCACCAGTGCCTGGCTTCAGGGGTGTTTTCTAGAAAATCTATTTTAGCACTGTGGGGTGAAGGGGAAAGACCGTGGCGGAGGGCAGTGCGGGGCAGTTGTGGGCGGCTCTGCACACCCGGGGAGGGGAGAACGTTACCCTGTAGAATTTTCCTTCCCTGCCTCCGGACACCAGGCCGTAGAAGGGGGTCAGGTCTTTGCCCCCGAGGGAGACGGCGGCATCCAGGGCACTGGAACAGAACAGACGGCGCCATGAGGAAGCGCTCAGGCCTCCAGCGCTACCGGGCGCTCGGCAATCGGCCTGCCATCTTTGGGGGGGCTGAGCCTCGCTCCCTGGGGAGACGGGCAAGCCCCCCCTCACAGCAGCAGAGCTGTAACCTTAGCCGAGAGCAGGGCTGGACCGCCGGCACTAATTGCTTCCATAAAAACTCGGGAGACCACAGGGACCCATGCCAAGCGGATAAAAATAATCCTCTGCTCTCTAACACCGGGGCAGAGTCTCTAAAAATAGGCCACTTAAATGGTAAGGAAACCTACTTTTGCAGGAGGCTCGTGCAGGAGGCTAGAAATCGGAAGGCATTATAATAATCCACCCGTGGGCCTCTGCTAACCAGGCAGTCAGCCCTTCGCCAGGGTTGTAACAGCTCCTTTGCGGAGAACCACAGTGTGGAAAGGGTTAAATGCCCACATGGTAAAGTTGGAAGTGACTGAACCGCCCGGCCTCCATTTCCTCATCTGTAAAATGGGAAGAATGGCGCAGGGCTTGTAGCAAGAGTGACAGAAGTCAGCGCATGCGCTGGCTCTGACAAGGCCTTTGGCTTCCACCTGGGACTGATGTTTGTGAGGTGTAGGACTGGCTCGGAAGGGCCCCCCTTCCCCACCCCTCACTCCACAGCCCAGCCAACAAAGACCCTCAGACCTGGGACGGTTGTGAGGACGGAGCTAGGCCCACTGTGAAATGCCCCTACATTTCTTTTTTTTTTTTTTGGTCGGTCGTGGGGCTTGAACTCTGCGCCTGGGCGCTGTCCCTCAGCTCTTCAGCTCAAGACGAGCTCTCTACCACTTGAGCTACAGTGCCACTTCCGGTTTTCTGGTGGTTTATTGGAGATAGGAGTCTCACGTTCTCTCCTGCCCGGGCTGGCTTTGAACCGCGATCCTCAGATCTCAGCCTCCTGAGTAGCTAGGATTACAGGCGTGAGCCACCAGCGCCTGGCTGCCCCTCCATTTCTTTTACAAAGACTTAGCTACACACTCAGCATGGTAGTAGACACCTGTAGTCCTGGCTACTTGGCAGGCAGAGGTAGGAGGATTTTCAGTTTGACCAAGCAAAGGTAACGCTTACGCCCTGAGTTTAAACCCCAGGACTGGCACAAAAGCAAAACGAAGACAAGGACAGACAAACAAAGCACAAGGCTGCCCAGCTAGCAGGGAAGGGAGGGAGGAGCGGGAGGAGGCCCCCCCCCCACAGCCACACACCAGGTCAGCAGAGCCGGGGCCTGGCCAGGACTGAGGAGCCGCTAGGCCCTGCCTCTCCCTTGGCCCTGCCTCCCTCGGCCCTGCCTCTCCCTCCGCTCCGCCTTCAGTAAACCCGCCAGGGAATCTTATTTACTTGTTTACGGTTTTTCTATTTCTTCTCCACTTGTAAAGCACTCCACATATTAAGTCACCAGAAGCAGCAATAAAGGGCTAATTAGTTTATAATGATTCTTTGTCCTCGTAACAGATTAGATTGAAATTCTCAGAAGCCTGCACTCTGGCCACACACTGGAGAGCTACTGGAAAGCAGAGCCCGTTAATAAACAAACAAACAAACAAAACCCTAACAATTCCAGCTCCTGGATGACTGAGGACAAAGACACACCTTCTGCGGGGAGGGGGGGGGCAGAGGGCAGCTCACCCCTTCCCTGACCTCTCCCCCCACCCATCCCACGACCTGCTCCCTTGGGCAAAGACAGAGACGTGGGTCACTGCAGCAGTCTGGAAACGCCTGAACTCCGACAGGTTTTACGGCTATTTTCACTGCAATTCAAGGTAAGAGAAGTCCAGAAAGGCACGCGAAGCTGCCGGCAGAGCGCAGGCCTCACTGGGACCCGTGCACACATTTGCCCCTGGAAGGAGTCCCAGGCGCTTCTGGCTTCTCCACGGGTCTCGCTGCAGGAGAGGCTCATGGGACACAGGGGGGCGGGGGCTGGGGAGTGTGGCCAGGAATGGGAACTGACCAGGCAGGGTGGCTCCTGCCCATAATCCCCATAATCTCAGGAAGGCTGAGACCGGAGGATCTTAATTTGAGGCTGCCTGGGCAGATACATTGGAGACTCTAGCTCCAATTAACCAGCAAAGAGAGTCAGAAGTCGGGCTGGGAGTGTGGCTCAGTGGTAGAGTGCTCGCCTAGCATGCGGGAAGCCCTGGGTTCCATTCCTTAGCACCACATACACAGAAAAAGCCACAAGTGGCGCTGTGGCTCAAGTGGTAGAGTGCTCGCCTTGAGCCAAAGAAGCTCAGGGACAGTGCCCAGGCCCTGAGTTCAAGCCCCAGGACTGGCACCAAAAGATAAATAAGAAGGGCTCTCCAGGGCTGGGCAGGTGGCTCAGTGGTAGAGCGCTTGCCTTGCATGCCTGAGGCCCTGGGTTCGATTCCTCAGCACCACATAAGCAGAAAAAGCCGGAAGTGGCGCCGTGGCTCAAGTGGTAGAGCGCTCGCCTTGAGCTGAAGAGCTGAGGGACAGCGCCCAGACCCAGAGTTCAGGCCCCACGACTGGACCAAAAAAAAAGAAGGGCTCTCCACTGGACGCCTTCCGCGTGGGGCCTCTACGCACCTCAAGCTGATCTTCCACTGTGTGACGGAGCGGTCTTGCCCGCCCGCTGTGAACGCGTAGCGGCCGTCATGGGAGAGAGCCAGGCCGGCCACGCCACTCGGGTGGCAGATGATGGCACAGGTCTTGTGTGGGTTGCCGTCAATTGGTAAGATCTGGAGTCCAACCTAGACCGGTGGAGAATCACACTCAGCAAGCTGGGTCTCAGATCGGAGCTGGACCGAGAATCTAGAATGGTGTCAGAGCAGGAGGGAGGAGGCACGCAGCCCGGCCCAAAGCAACACAGCACAGCGCGGCACGGCACGGTGCACGGCAAGGCGTGGCGCAGAGCAGTGCGGCAGGGACGGAGAACGCGGCCTCTCTTTACTGCTGGCACTGGAGTTTCAACTCAGGGCTTGGACACTGCCCCTGAGCTTTTTTGCTTAGGACCGGTGTTCTATTAAGTCCACTTTGCTTGTTAACTGGAAATAAGATTCTCAGGGACTTTACTGCCCAAGCTGGCTTGAACCTCAATCCTCAGATCTCAGCCTCCTGAGCCATGGGTACACATCCACTATGACTTATGCTTTTCTTCTGATTCATTAAATTTACAACTAAGCTGGGTGTTGGTGGCTCATGTCTGTAATCCTACCCAGGAGGCTGAGATCTGAGGATCATGGCTCAAAGCCAGGCTGGGCAGAAAAGTCCCCATGAGACTCATCTCCAATTAACTGCTCGAAAACCAGAAGTGGAGCTGTGGCTCAAAGAGCACTAGCCTTGACAAAAGAGCTCAGGGACAGTGCCCAGGCCCTGAGTTGAAGCCCCACAACCGACAAAATAATAAATAAATAAATTTACAACTAAGTGTAATGAATTTGCATATCCATGAAAATTAGATGTTTGCATATAAATATGGAAGGAAGAAGAAAACCCTCTGCAGGCAACGTCTTCTTGAGGGTACAGAACACAGGCTACCTGTGGTCTCCCAAATGCACTTTTCAGCACCCCCAGGCCTGGATGGAGGAAGGGGTCTGTGGCTTGGGGCCAGGCCCTGTGCTTTGGTTCTCCTAGACTTGCGCTGCCCGAGGCGGGACACGGGGTGCTACCTTGTCTTTGTTGATGAACACCAAGTACCGCTTCAGGAGGGCCAGCGTGTCTTTCACTGGGAGCACCTGCGTGTACTCGATGGGGGACCCGTACGCCGGCCCCAGCAGCGTCTTCCTGAGTGCCACAGAGAAACGGAGTTTGCATTTCACACATCTGAGTATGTTTTCAGAGTGTTCTCTTCCTTCCTTCCTCCCGTCCCACTCTCCCTTCCTTTTTTTATTTTTTTGGTTGGTCGTAGCACTTGAACTCTGGGCCTGGGCACTGTCCCTCAGCTCTTCAGCTCAAGACGAGCTCTCTACCACTTGAGCCACAGCATCACTTCTGGTTTTCTGGTGGTTCATTGGAGATAAGAGTCTCACAGACTTTCCTGCCCGGGCTGGCTTTGAACCCTGATCCTCAGATCTCAGCCTCCTGAGTAGCTAGGATGACAGGCGTGAGCCCGGCCTTCCTTCTTTTTTTTAGAGGCAGGGTCTCCCTACGTGGAGACCCAGGCTGGCCTTAACTAACTTCTTTTCTTTTCCTTCCTTCCCTTCCTTCCTTCCTTCCTTCTTCCTTTTTTTTCTTTGTTTCTTCCTTTTTTTGCCAGTCCTGGGGCTTGAACTCAGGGCCTGGGCACTGTCCCTGAGCTTCTTTGGCTCAAGGCTAGCACTCTACCACTTGAGCCACAGCACCACTTCCAGCTTTTTCTGTGTACGTGGTGCTGAGGAATGGATCCCAGGGCTCCATGAATGCTAGGCAAGCACTCTACCATTAAGCCACATTTTCAGCCCTAGCCTTCACTTTCAATCCTCCTGCCTCAGCCTTCCAAGCACTAGGATTACCACATGTGTGGCCACCACCAAACAGCAGATGCTCCGTGAGGCGCTCTCCTGCGGTCACCTTGTGGCTATCTTTCAGTCTGGAAGGGACAGGACTGACCCCGCCTCCGGCGTGAGAGGCGGCGCCAAGCCTTTAGCACTGTGGCTGGGTGTGGCCAAAAGTTCTGAGGGGGGTGCGGCGGGCTGCCTCCGTCTGGGCCGGTTGTACAATGGAGCCCTTCTGCGCCCCTCCTGCCGCCCCTCCACCAGGCTGGCCTTCCTGGCACGCCTTCGCCCTTGCCGGGCCTCTCTGTGCAGGCTTGTGTCCCGGCTCACTTGCTCACCTCCTCCAGATCTCTGTTCCGGCCTTCCCTGTCCGGGCCTCCCCTTCTACTCTTTGAAGGCAGAGCCCCTCCACCGGGTTCCACAAATCCCATCACCCACACTCAGTCCTAGCCACTCGGTGGCCTCGGGGGCGCCCCCGATGGCAGAACACGCCCTCTTAGGCGCCCAGAGCAGCGCCTGACCTGCCCAGGGAGGCACTGAACGAACGGACAATGTCTTTGGAGCACAGAGGAGGGAAACCCATCCCTCGGCGGGCGTGTGGTGAAAGTCCCGCCTTGCCAGAGCCCGAGTCTGCGCAGTAGGCCCTGAGCGCTGGCACACTCTGGGGAAGAATGGCCCAGGTTACCAGTGCCTCCATTTCCCCCAATGAGAATCATAGCCAAGCTGTGCCAGGCCCCGGGTGCAGACTGCCCCCCGCTCCTGGAGGGCACTCCGGGGCGCACCTGCACATCTTGGTGGTGGCGTTGAAGAGCTTCACTTTGTAGCCGCTGTTGCACATGAGCAGGAAGAGCTCCTTGGTGAGGGGCGGGTACCACACCATGCAGGTGGGGTAGGTGCCCTGGTCCGTGCGGTGGATGTCCAGCACTTCCAGGTGGTCTTTGAAGCTTCTGCTGAGATTGTACTCGATCTGCACAGAGGACCAGACAGACACACGAGGCTGTGTGTACATGTGTGTGCTTGTGTGCGTGTGTGTGCGTGTGCACGCATGTGTGTGCCAGTGCTGGGGCTTGAACTCGGGCCTGGGCGCTGTCTCTGAGCTTTTGTGCTCAAAGCTAATGCTTTACCACTTGAGCCACACCACCACTTCCAGTTTTCTGGTGATTCCTTGGAGGTAAGAGTCTCACAGGGACTTCTGAGCCAGGCTGGCTTTGAACTGTGATCCTCAGATCTCAGCCTCCTGAGTAACTAGGATTAAAGGGGTGAGCCACTGCTGTGCCCGGCAAGTGTCCTCTCTTACCGTTAGTTTTACTGGGCACCTTACCATTATCTCAGGGACTCCTCAAGAGCAGGGGCTAGAGCCAGGTGGCTGAGTCTCCAGGCTGTGGGGGACCCTGCTCTCCCCAGCACCTCCTCCAGGACACGAGCCCGGGCACCATCACAGCCCTGTTAGGGCAGGCCGCCCAGCGAACTCACGCCGCGGGCCAGGGATGTGTGGCGCTGTGACCTGCGTGGGCGGAGCCCAGAGTGCAGGGGGGGTGGGGGGGCATGGGGGGGGAGGGCCAGAGCCCAGGGGCTCACCAAGAAGCGGTCTCTGCCGAGGCTCAGCAGCCGGGGCTCGTTGCTGTCTAGGTGAACCCCGAACAGGAGGCTCTGGATGCTCTTGCGATGTGAGCGGAGCCGCGCCAGGTACTGCCACACTCTCTGTCCATTCTGGACGATCATCACGAACACAGCCACCGTGAAACTGACGTCCTAAACATGAGCGACAGCACAAGTAAGCTGGGCACCGGCGGCGCGCCTGTCGTCCCAGCGGCTCAGGAGGCTGAGATCTGAGGATCAGCTTAAAGCCAATCAGAGCAGAAAAAGTGGAAACTCATCTCCAGTTAACCACCAAAAAGTGTGGCTCAAGTGAGAAGAGCACCAGCCTTGAGCACAAAAGGAAAGGGACAGAGCCTCGGCCCTGAGGTCAAGCCCCAGAACCGGCACACACACAAAAAGAGAGTCGAAGTTTTCTGTCTTGTCTAATGAATCCACGAATGAATCCTCGTGGGTGGGAGGTGCGGCTCTAGGGCTAGAGCTCCTAGCCCGAGTTCAAATCCCAGTACTAAAACAAAATAAATGAAAGACTTTTGCTCTTTGGAGCGATAAGCATTTGGGGTTTGGCTCAAGTGGGAAGAGCGCCCGCTTGGCCAGCTGGGACAGTAATCCAGACGCCAGTACCACACACGCAGAAAACCATCATTGTTCAGGTTGTTTGCTTTCTGCTTTTTTGCATGTCTAGACTGTGATCCCCCTATCTTAGGCCGCCCATCATTGTCTTAACCAGGACGACAGCCGGATGACAGGGGAGGGCAAACTCTACCCTCATCTTTCTGTTGAGATGGGGAGACTCACGGTGCCTCTGCCTGGGCCGCCCTCCAACCAAGATCCTCACAACCTCAGCCTCCAACATAGCCCCAGGGCCCCTCCGCCCGCACCCCTCCTGCTTCCCACCGCCGTCTCTGGCCGGGCACTCACCGCCGTGGCCATGTAGCGGGAGTTGTGGGAGAAGCTGACGTGCGTCACGCTGCTGTGCGAGTAGTGGAAGGGCTCCTCGGTCTCGTTCTTTAGAGACATTGCGTCGAGGATGTAAACCGTCCCCTCGGTGAAGCCAGCTCCAAGCAGGGCGCCTACAGGACAAGCACCAGAGGCCTTCACTCCTTCAAGAAACAGTCTGCCCTGCTGTGGGGGCAGAGCACACAGCCACAGGCACGCTGGGGACGGAATGAAAGGCAGACACGCGGCCCAGAGGCCCAGGGTGTGGCGGGGACCCGAGAGCGAGGGCACAGCCCTGTGGGGAAATACCTTCCGGGTTGTAGGTCAGACTCTGGACGCCCAGCCCCTTCTCAAAGACCCTGCTGAAGAGGTACTTCTTCTTCTCGTAGTTCCACATCTTGATCATGCCACACGTGCTCCCGATGGCGAGCAGGGGCTGGTACGGGTGGCAGGCGATGGCACAAATGGCCTCCTTGGGCTCTACGAAGAGTTTCTCCAGTTTGGTGCCCTCCACCGTTAGGTGGTACACGGAGGCGTCACACGTGGCAATGATGAAATTCCTGTTTGCCAAAGAGAGGGTGAAGCGTGCGTCTGTGGGGAACGGGGCTCGCCAGCCATCCCGCGGCTAATCGCACACGGAACGCCCCTGTGGGCTATAATTGCCTGACATGATTAACCCAACATCTCCAAAAATACACCACCAACACCCAGCATCCTCCATTTGTGAGTGAAACAAGTCCACTTTCCACATGTAAATTGAGTCATTAAGTATGCAGATGGACAGTCAGTTGAACAATTAGCTAATCTGCACATGCAAATGTTCATTTGTGTATGCAAATATGGAGTTGGGTGCACACATACAGATGCGCCTGTAAAGACTTCAAGGGTAATTAAGCAGACGCACAGATAATTCGGTCCTGAAATGTTATGGCTATTAATTATCCAATGCTTTTAACCTCAGTGGCTGGGACAGGCTTGGTTCAGGACTGGCCAGCACCAACTCTCTCAAGATACTTTTGTTTTTTTTTTGGTTTTGGTTTTGTCGGTCATGGGGCTTGAACTCTGGGCCTGGGCGCTGTCCCTCAGCTCTTCAGCTCAAGGCGAGCGCTCTACCACTTGAGCCACAGCGCCACTTCCGGTTTTCTAGTGGTTCATTGGAGATAAGAGTCTCATGGACTTTCCTGCCCAGGCTGGCTTTGAACCGGGATCCTCAGATCTCAGCCTCCCGAGGCTTAGAAGGCCGTGATTGCAGGCCTGGGCTTCACGCCTGGGGCAGGAAGGACAGCCACTGTGTGCAGGCTGAAAGATGGCATCTGTGATCTTCCATGGTCTTCTCCAGTCACAAGATGCCTAATGATGGGACTCATCCACAGCTCACCTGACAACAAATATGTCGCCTCTCAGGGTGCAGTCGGAGGGGAGGTTGGACGTGTCGGTAGGGGGTTTGGGTGGCGTCTTGGCGAAGGACAGAGACCTGATGGAGCTCAGCTTTAAGTTGCTATACCAGTTGATGATGGACAGCGAGTCATCATAGAACTTGATGCTCCCCTTGATGTCGCCGGTGACGATGTAGCTGGAGGAGTGGCATGCGCGTTAGATGGAGGGAAACCCGAGCGTGGAGCACCTGCTCGCGCCAGGCCCTGGGCACAGGGATTCCCTGTCACCCGCCCCATGACACTGGCTTTCCTGTTGCCCTGTGTCATGTCCAGGAAACCAACGTACAGAGAAGTTGGGAAACTTGCTCTCAAACACTAAAGTTGGGCTGGGAGGTGGCTCAGGGGTAGAGTGCTTGCCTCACATGCATGAGGCCCTGGGTTCGATTCCTCAGCACCACATAAGCAGAAAAAGCCAGAAGTGGCGCTGTGGCTCAAGTGGTAGAGCTCTAGCCTTGAGCTGAAGAGCTGAGGGACAGCGCCCAGGCCCAGAGTTCAAGTCCCATGACTGACCAAAATAAAAGTATATCCCAGTGATCATCAGCAATCTTCCAGGGCTGGAAGGCGGGAGTGCACAGGGCATTCAGGAGAGTCTAATGCTCCTCGCTCCCCAAGGTCAGCTGTCACCAAGGTGGTGGTGGACAGTGATTTACATTCTCCGCCATAAGACCACAGACAGAGGACAGAGTCCATCAAGCAACCTCTGAAAGCACACGGGCTGGCCATGGGCCTTCAGCTGCTTGGGAGGAAGGCGCTCCTGTTAGAGACACTGTAAAACCGCATCCAGCTACCATAGCCCGGGCAGTGGGGTGTGACAAAATGGCTGCTATTTCCAGTCATCTGATCCACCCCAATGGGCTTGTTGCTGCTTTTTTTTTTTTTTTTTAATAAAGACTCTGACACAATTCTAATCAGAGATGGGGGAGGAGCAGGGGAATTTTCTCATAGATTATGCAGAGTGATTAAATGAGCTTTCTGATGATCAAGCAAGGCAGGTGGACAGAATAATTGGCCAGCGCCTCTTTTACTGCCCTCTTCTGGACAGAAGTGGCAAAGCAGGTTAAGTGGTTTTTTTTTTTAGTTCTTGTTTTTGTTTTTGCTTTTATTGGGCAAAGGGCTTGAACTGAGAGCCTGGGTGCTGTTCCTGAGGTCTTCAGCTCAAACTAGCTTTCTACCACTTTGAGCCACAGCTCCATTTCCAGTTCTCTGGTGGTTCATTGGAGATAAGAGTCTCATAGCCTTTCCTGCCTGGGCTGGCTTTGAACCATAATCCTCAGATCTCATCTCCTTGAGTAGCTAGGATTACAGGTAGTGTTCTCAAGGGCCCTGTCCCTCCCAAGGCCTCCACGTACTGGCTGGGTTTGATTAAACATGGAGAGGGGGAATCCAGGCCTGGTCTTTACAGAGCCCTAAGTCCAACCTCAGGACCAACAAAGGAATGAAAAAGACAAATGAAAGCTAGCAGGCCTATTGAAAGCAGACGGAATGTGCCTCTAACCACAGAGCCAGCTCCTTGCTGCAGGTATGATCTCAACACATCTGGAAACTTCTCTAACACACCCAAGTCGGCTGCCATTTACCTGGGCTCTGTGTGCCAGGCAGTGTGTAGTTGTACCTGCCCTGTCTCATGAAATCTCAGAGACATATTGTTATAACCATTTCACAGATGGAGAAATGTAGGTTCTTTGCTCAAGGTCACCAGCTGAGATGTAATAAAATAGGTTCTGTCACTCTTTTTGTGCTCATTTGAGTCCTCACAGCCTCTCAAAAATCAAAAGGAGCTCCAATTTTTATAAAGTTCTGAAAGCCGAGTATAGTGGCACATGCCTGTAATCCCAGTACAAGGGAAGCTGAAGCAAGAGGATCACAGTTCAACACCAGCCTGGGCCATGTAGCAAGACCCTGTCTCAACCCTCTTCCTCAAAAGGACCCGGCATATTTGACCTTTAGATAACGTGAACATGTTATTTTTTCAGTCAGACCAAACAATATAGTTATTGGGATTATTTTCCTGAAGTAAAATTGGGGGGGGGGTAAAAAAAGTCACAAGAATACAAAAACATCACAGAAGGAAAAAATCAGTTACTTTTTTGTTTCATCAACATAGAGAGTTTTTTTTTTAAAAAAAAAACATAATGCATACCTAGGCCTTAAAATAATATATCCAATGAGTGTTAATGGAACTATATAAAGAATAAACCCACCCCCCCATAACACTCGATCATGTTATCAGCTCTTCCCAGAGGCATCGCAACACCCAGATAATTATGACTCTCCCCAGACACCTCCTATTCAAATACAAATGCGTAGACAGAAGGGTTTCCACATGCTTTTCTACTGGCTGAAAGCCGCTTGTTAATGAAGCTCAGTACCTGTCAACCGTGGTGAGCACCGTGACGCCCTCCTTCTGCAAGTGCACCAGTTTGCAAGGCTTGAGGTAGGGCAGGCCGGAGGCCGGCAAGTGCGGCCGCTGGATGTCCCACACCACCAGCTTGCCCTCCAGCGTGGCGGACAGGATCTGCATCGAGTTCAGGTGGAAGACAGACTGGCTGAATTTCCCCACGAGCTTGTTGAATGTCTGTGGATCAAAGACAGGGTATGCTTTGAGTTACTGTGGGCAACAGAAACAAAACCAACCCTTGCAGACAAATCTCTTTTCTCCAATTAACCAAAAAAAAATCAGAAGTTGAGGCATGGCTCAAGTGGTAGAGTACTGGCAGTGAGCAGAAAAGCAAAGAGAGAAAGAGTAGTAGACCCTGAATTCAAGCCCTGGTACAGAGAGACAGACAGATCCACAGACACACAGACACACAGACACACACACACACACACACACACAGAGCAGAATGGAAGCAGGAAAACCCTAGCGTGCCCTCTGAGAGCAAATTCTATGAGCATCAAACATCAAACACAGAAAATGCTTTAGGAGACGGAACTCAAGATCCACTTGAGACCAAGTAGCCTGAAGCAAGCAGGCAGATGGAAGCTTCTCCACCTGTGGCTCCCGCCGCCCGGCCCACTCCTGAGCATCTGACTCCCCCATGCCATTCGTTCTTTGGTCACTCTGGACTGAGCCATCTCAAAAGGGACCTGCTCACACGCCACTTACACAGCTTTAATCCACGGACCCACGGGAAGATGTTCCAACAACTTCCCAATGGATTAACGCAAACACACACAAAGCATAGCTCAACACAGCCAAGCATGCACACGCATATCTAGTCTCCACAAAATCCTGTGTATAAAAATGCCACTGGCGGTACTCACTTTTTCTGTTAAAAGTGGGGCACTGTGAACTAGTATATTTTTGTGTTCAAGCTGACAAGAAACAGAAAAAAAATTAGCACTACAAAAAAAAATCCTGGTTTCCAAAACAGGAACTACGTAATAGCAAAATCAAAATAAAGCGAGTCTACACCCGGTGAGGATGCAGCGCGGCTGCCTTGGAGAATCTCTACCAAGGCTGCAGAAGCAAAGCCAATGCGTGCTTTAGCGCCAATTAAAAGATGATCGTAAGTGGTACTCAATGGGAACCTTAACTCTGTATTAATAAGGCTTTAAAGCCAGGAGCCAGAGGCTCACGCCTGTAATCCTTGCTACTCAGAAGGCTAAAATCTGAGGACCCCAGTTTGAAGCCAGCCTGGGCAGAAAAGTCACGGGGAAACCTCAGTGGATGTCTGCGCGGGCATCTGTCCTGCGCGGAACCACTGAAGCTGGTGGGAACCCTCTGTTTAACTCCATATTTCCTTTTTTCTTTTTAATTAATTTTATGGATTTATTTTCTGTTTCTGTGGCACCAAGGAATCGAACCTCGGCCTCATGCATGCTGAGCAAGCATTCTATCACTAAGCCACATTCCCAGCCCCAACATTTTTTTTATTCTTACTCCAGCCTCTATTGGTGCCCTGTAGCCGAGCTGTTTGCTAATTACTTCCTGAAGGGGAATAAAGCCCAAGGTCTATCCTGTAGACCTATTAAATGTTTTCAAATAAATATTTGCCTCATTACCTTCCAAAAATGAAATGAAATTTAATTATGTTTCTGATTTAATATGTTGACTTCCAATGGGACTAGTATAAATACCATAATTAAATCAAAACATTTTTTTTCTTTCTTCTTTCTTTTTTATTATTGTGAAAATACCGTATAGAGGGGTTACAATTACATGGGCAAGATAATGAGTACTTTTCTTATCAAGCATTGTTGCCTCCTCCTTTGTCTCCCCTTCCCATCCCTTCCCATTTCCCACCTCCCCCTCAAAACATTTTTATATGTATTTGTTGCTGCCTAAATAGTTACTATCTTGCCATCATCTATATTCGAAGGAATAAATATTTTCTTGTGCCCATGTCCAAAACAAATCAAAGTATTTCTACTCACCCACAAATAATATATGGTTTGTGTTCGGCTATTGCTCACAAGTTCTCTGTTATTTGTTGGATTGAAAACAAGGTGGGTCTGAAATGTGAAATGTAAGAATTTAGTAACTAATAACACATTTTCTGTTTCTCTCTGGTTATGCCAAGTGTTAAAATTAAATAAGCATTTTAATTAAAAACCAATAACTGAGAGGGAGCGAGGAAGGGAGGGTGGGGGGAGGCAGGGGACACTGAATGATTATAGTCCGGATGTGTGTGGGAATGTAACAATGAAATCTCCCTCTCTATATAATGAAACAGAAGCAATACAAACGATGCTTTTAAAAATCCTCTGGAAAATAAGTAAATAATGGCTAGCTAGGTAAGTATGGATAGAAAACAGAAAAGACCCAGCATTTGGTAACCATAAAAAATATCATTTAACCAGTGTTCTTAAAGTAAATAGCGTAAAATGTGCTCTGGTTCCAAGTTCTATTTATTAGAACTCATCACCATGCGTTGGAACAGGCAGAGAAACAAGCGCGCAGCGGTAACAGCGTCGGGTATCGAACTCGGGCCTGGCGCGGCCGAGCGCACGCGGGCTCAGCCCTGCGCTCCCTCGGAGACCACCCACAAACACCTGTGTTCTCAGTCCTGTGGGACAGAGCCTACAAGATGAAAGGAAGACATGGTCAAATCCCTCCGGCAGTGACCTCGCTGGGGCCCGCGCCGCGCGGGGCCGCGCAGGGCTGGGAGCGTGTGGAGTGGGTCGGTGGAGGCTGCGGCGCCGCCCCCGGCCCGGCCCAGCCACGGCTGCCCATGCTGGCATCACCTCGGTGGGGCGCTGGGGCACCCCCCAGGCCCGAGCCAGCTCTGCCCACTCCCGCTGCTCATCCAAACCCAGTCTTCTTTGGAAGCGGCATCACCCTGGATTTGCAAGCCTTTGGCAACATGACTGGGAGCCCCCAAAATAACCCCGCAGACCAAAGATGCACCTGTAAGTGGAAAAGCTACGGGGAAAGAGGCCTAGAGCACAGACTTCACAGAGTGCGGCCAAGATGCAAAGAGAGCAGGGGACACGGTGAGAACCCCAGAGGACAGCTCTACTTTAAAAAAGCCAGCCAGGTGCCAGGGGTTCACACCTGTAATCCCGTCATCCTAGCTACTCAGGAGGCTGAGATCTGAGGCTCATGGTTCAAAGCCAGCCCAGGCAGGCTGGAGACTCATCTCCAATTACCCACCAAAAAAAGTTGTGGCTGAAGTGGTAGAACGCTAGCCTTGAGCACAAAAGCCCAAGGACAGTGCCCAGGCCCTGAGTTCAAGCCCCAGGACCCGCACAAAAAATAAAAAAAGATGTCAGTGCTGCCCAAGTGATGTGCATATTGAATATAATCACTATCAATGTCCAAAAGACAACTGTGCAGCCCCCAAAAAAACCCGCCCTAAATGCCAGTTAGCTGGCACACTGGGGGGAGGGGAGGATGGGAGGGCAGGGAGGGGGAAGCCAAGGCTGACGGGAGGTGGGGCACGGGGAGGGGGGAGGTCACCATGGCCACCTCTCCATAGACCTTCCATGTTCATGACAAGGTTGGAAACAGTTAAAACATAACTCTGGAATGGGAAAGGCTGCTTACCAGGTGGCTTCAGACTCGTTGAATAATTAATAGCACTCACCCACAGATTTATATCCCCACGCTAGCTGGTTTGCATGGATTATATGAGTTAAGTAAAGAATTTAGGCAAGTGCTCTACCACTGGGCCACCTTCCCAGCCCCAAGTAAAGCGTTTAGTTTCTGGGTGCCAGTGGCTCACACCTGCAATCCTAGCTACTCAGAAGGCTGCGATCTGAGGATCAGGGTTCAAAGTCAACCTAGACAGGAAAGTCTGTGAGACTCATTGATCTCCCAAGGCTACTCAGAAAAAGCTGGAAGTGGCTCAAGTGGTAGAAGGCTAGCCTTGAGCACAAAGGGAGACAGGGCCCAGGCTGAGTTCGAGCCCCAGGATCAGGGGGAGAAAAAAAGAATTTAGCAGCTTCTGGCACATAGTAAGTGCTTAAAACACATTCACTATTATTAGTGAAGGTAAATGTGAGCTACAAGATGTGCAAGTACTCTCAGAAAGTTCTCAACAGAGGCCTGTAATCCAGGCACTCGGGAGCCTGAGGCAGGAGGCCAGCCTGGGCTACGCAGAGAGACTCGATCTATCTCAAAGTGGTGTGGTGGGGAGCTAGGCCTGGTCCTATATAATTCCAGCTATTCAGCAGGCTGGGATTGGGGAAATCAGAGTTCAAAGCCAGCCTGGCCAAAACATGTTCTAGAAACACTGCCAGTACAAAGGTGGTGAGTGGCGGGTGCTTGTCATCTCGCTATGTGAGGAATGTGACTAGCAGGATCGCAGTCCACGCCATTCTGGACAAAGAACAAGACCCTATTTGAAAAAGAGCCAAAGCACACAGGGCTGGGGCGTGGCTCAAGTGGCAGATGCCACTGCACCGTAAGCAAAACTCCCACCAAGAGGAAAGGTACAATCTCACCTGGGCCACTGGACTCACCTGAAAGCCATACTCCCTGGGCAGCTCCAGGGTGCAGGCCGGCTTCTCCACGGCCAGCGTCCACCGCCACACGCACACTTGCTGCAAGGCAGACCCCCGAGCACCGTGAGAGGCCGCAGACGACGCCCGAAGAAACCCACGCCACTTGGGGCCACCCTGAAACATTGGGGAACTACACCAAGGACCACAGCCAAGCCTCCGCATGGAAGCTCTGTCCCTGCACTGAGGCTCTGGTCAGCAGAGAGCCCCACCGATGCCCGGCCGCCCGCCAGAGCCGCCCGCAGCACGGCTGGCGGCTCTCTACCTGGATTTCGGCATCGGAGATGGTTGCCAGATACTTGGCATCACGGGTGATGGCTATGGTTCTTATGCCATTACCTTCTGGGCAGCTGTCAAATATAGTGTGCACAGGAATTCTGCCAAATAAGACACGGAGGAATGACACTTAGGGGGACCCCATAGCTCCCCCAAGCTCAGCTCAAACCTTCCCACACCCCAGCAAACACACGCGCCAGCCACACAAAAGAATATCTCATGAAGGTGTACGCATAATGAAGTATTCATTAGTAACCTATGAGAACACGCGTTTAATTCGCGTAGGCACTATTACCCACTCTCGCATCCAGAGGACTATGGCTCTGACATGGGCCAGAGCACTTGACCGTGTGACACTAACAACTAGGCCAGACACAAGGCAACATAGGATACGGCTCTGCTGGACCCAATATCCCCACAGCACATCAGAGACAAAGCAGATGGAGGCTCAGGGAGGGAGGAGCGGGGGACTGCTAAGGGGCTCAAAATCATCTGAAGGTGATGGTTGTACATTGTGAGTGCACAAAATGCCGGCTCATAGCGCCCTTTCAAATGGCCCATTTTTTTTTTTTTGTCAGTCGTGGGGCCTGAACTCTGGGCCTGGGCGCTGTCCCTCAGCTCTTCAGCTCAAGACGAGCGCTCTACCACTTGAGCCACAGCGCCACCTCCGGCTTTTTTCTTTTTGCTTATGTGGTGCTGAAGAATCAAACCCAGGGCCTCATGCATGCAAGGCAAGCACTCTACCACTGAGCCACCTTCCCAGCCCATCAAATGGCCCGATTTTCTATTCTGTGAACTTCATTCCGTGAGAACAAAAGGCCTAACTCAGGGCAGATGTCAGCGTGCGTGCCGTCCACTCTCAGGAGCCCGCAGCCCCCTTCACTCCTGGGGCCAATTTGCAGGGCTTAGCCACACAGGAAAGATGAAACCGACAGTGCCCCCCCACACACACACACAGAGCTAGATGGTCACGGGTGGCTCATACTTGTAATTCTAGCTACGCAGGAGACTGAGATCTGAGGATCATGATTCAAAGCCAACCTGGGCAGAAAAGTCTGTGAGATTCTTATCTCCTATTAACCACCAGAAAACTGGAAATGGCACCGTGGCTCAAAGTGGTAGAGCGCTAGCCTTGAGTGAAAAAGCTCAGGGAGAGAAAAGTTCAGGCCCAAGACCTGAGTCAAGCCCAGGACCGACAAAGAAAAGAAAGAACCCAAATATCCATCCAGAATGAGATAGGACATTGAAATGCCTAAGAGAGCCAAAGAGCATAAATAAAAAGAACACTCGGCAGTGGGGGAAGCAAGCTCTCGCACAGGGGGCGGGGGGGAGCAGGCGAGGGGTCCATGGGGCCTGACTCTGGGCTGTGTTTGCGCCCACTGGCTTCTGCTATGGACTCCTTGTTCCAGTGAATGCATACAGGCCTCTGTATGTCACAGGGTCCTGGGGGCTGGAGCCAAGTCTGGGCCCCAGCTGAGGGGACACTGTGGTTCTCTGTCATCTGAGAAACTTCGTCCCACTGAGCAGGAACCCCCAAAATGCACTTGGAAGGCAGCCCTCAAGTTGCTGGGAAATGACACAATGGAGAATTGAGCCCCAGAGATATTTAGAATTAAACAAAGAGAAGATGAAGTTGGCCAGGTCTGTATTATTAACATTTGCATGGTAAGAAAATAACGTGTAAGAGAATTTGACATACCAACATATCTAACAGATTAGATTTGTGATTCTAATTTAAACTACGTAGTTGATTTAAACTTGCAGTTCAAAATTGAAATCATATTATGTTCATAAAAAATATTAGAGCACTTAAGAAAACTTAAATTTTACCATATTTCTGTCTAAATGTACTAGCTTTCTAGGAATTATTTAAGTACTTGTGGAGAACTTGTTTGCTAATTAGACTGCTAAAAAAACTTTAAAAGAAAAAATAGTATATAAGATTTCCAAATGCAGTTTAAAATGCTTAAAAACAAAAGCATTAATAACCAAATTTGTGAGGCCAACTATAATCAAAACCTTTTTTTTTTTTTACCAGTGATTGCAAAAATGTACTAGACTTACAGTAAATAAAGTAAAATTGTTAAATTGAAGGGGGAAAAAACCATGGTTTTTAACTTGTAGCTTTAATAAAGTAGATATCCATTCTAAAACCAAAGCGATCTCCGAGCAATCGATGTTTTCAGGGTCCCAAAGTCACCATCTGGACTAATACAAACCTCACACTGACAAGGCATTTCAGCTGTTAACCAGAGACACATTATACTCAGATTTAAACAAAGAACTTGCTGCCTTCCAGATTCTGTAAGACACTGACAAGGAGGTAGTTTTGCAAACAAGAAACCCCGGTGATGGCCCAGGAAGGCCATGTTTCACGGATGTCCGGGGAGGGGAGACCGATGAGACACAGGGGAAGGAGAGGAGCAGAGGTCCGAGGAAAGGAGAAGTCAGAGAAGCCCTGGGAAAATGAGTGCTCTAGCTGGGCGCCGGCGGCTCACGCCTGTCATCCTAGCTACTCAGGAGGCTGAGATCTGAGGATCAAGGTTCAAAGCCAGCCCAGGCAGGAAAGTCCACAAAACTCGTATCTCCAATAAACCACCAAAAACTGGAAGTGGCCCTGTAGCTCAAGTGGTAGAGCACTAGCCTTGAGCTGAAGAGCTGAGAGACAGCGCCCAGGCCCCGAGTTCAAGCCCCACCACTGACAAAAGAAAGAAAAAAGAAAAAAAAGAAAATGAGCGCTCTATGTCAGCACTATCAGGTGACGTCACCCACACCAGGTGACCTCAAGTAAGGTGAGGATGGAATTGGGAGACGAGAACCAACGTGATCACTGCTGACACTAGCCTGGGCCTCCATTCTAGGACTCAGAACAACTTCTTTCTTGTTCATCTGGATTCATTAATTGATCTTAAACAAGGGGATCATCTGCCTCTAGGCCCAGGAATTAAGAAGCCCACAGGGGTGGCGGGTGCCTGTAATCGCAGCTACTCAGGAGGCTGAGATCTGAGGATCCTGGTTCCAAGACAACCCTGGACAGGAAAGTCCATGAGACTCTTCTCCAATTAACCAGCAAACAAGCCAAAAGTGGCATTGTGGCTCAAGTGGAAGAGTGCTAGCCTTGTGCACAAAAGCTTAGGGACAGTGCCCAGGCCTTAGGTTCACACCCCCAGACTAGCACAGGAAAAAAAGGGGGGGGGTGAGCACTGGGCAACCGCAGCCCTTGTCAGAACCCTCGCTATTCACAAGGCTGAAAGCAGGAGCAAAGGGCAGAGGTGGGAGAGGTCTCAATTGTCCCGTAAATCTAAAACTGTACTAAAAAAGTAAACTTGTGTCCCTATACAGTAGCTACTCAGGAGGCTGAGATCTGAAGATTATGGGTTGAAGCCATTCTAAATGAAAATCCAAGCCATTTTTTTTTTTTTTGGACAATAGTGGGGCTTGAACTCTGGGCCTGGGCGCTGTCCCTCAGCTCTTCAGCTCAAGGCGAGCGCTCTACCACTTGAGCAACAGAGCCACTTCCAGCTTTCTGGTGGTGCATTGGAGATCAGTGTCTCATGGACTTTCCTGCCTGGGCTGGCTTTGAACCATGATCCTCAGATCTCAGCCTCCTGAGTAACTAGGATTATAGGTGTGAGCCACCAGTGCCCAGCAAGAGATTTTTTTTTTTTAACCTTCAAGTGTCAAGCAAGAGAGTGAGGCCATGAGTTCAAGCCCCAGTCCCTGGGTGGGGGGAGAATCGCACCCGCAGCTGAGACTGGGCTGCGTGAAACGTGTATGTAGAGCTATAGTGTGGAAAATCCTAGTGGTGATCATTAGGAACTTTCCAGAAGAGGGGGCCTGTCCAATAACTAGAAAAATCTGACTTTGTAAAAGTAGTGTTTCTCGTTGTAATTGGCCTGCGGTTTGTGCCTTGAACTTCTGTGAGCTGGGCTGCAGGGAGTCCTCCAGCCTGGTTGGCCTCAACTCACAACAAACCAAGTTTCTAGATCCACTTTTGCTTAGTCCCTGTGGCCGCCAGTCTGCAGGCAGGAGGGGAGGCGCAGCTGCGCCCGGCCTACCCTGAGAAGGAGTCCCATATAATTATGAGGCAGCCCGGCCCCTTGTCTGCAGTGGCGATCCAGCGCCGGTCCTCGCTGATGCACAGGCAGGAGATGATGTTGGAGTGGCCCTGGGGAGAGGGAGAAGAAACACCGTGACACCTCCAGGGCATGACCTGGCCTGACCTCGGGCAGGATGCGGCCCACGGGAAGATGTGCACCCCTGTGATGCTCAGCACAAAGAGGACACTGTTAGCACAGGTGAGAGCCCTGGCTCACCCTGCGCATGCGCCCCCTCCCCGCCCCCACCCTCCGGTCACCACCTGCCACCACCGCCTCCTGGTCCCGGGGAGGCTGGCAGCTGTGTCTGCGCTACATCAGCAGCTCCTAGAGGCCAGAGTCTACGTTTGTTATCTTCATGACCACAGCCTCGTAGTACAGAACAGCGCTTGGGATAAAGCATGGCGACACATTCCAGCCACTAACCCGACATGGCAGGACTCCTGCAGGTCCCGCAAGCTGCCTTCAACACGTCCCATCCCCCTGCGGTTAGTCCTGTGTTCAAGGCTCGATTGTGTTGTGTGTGTGAGCGTGCACATGCGCACATACACGGCCACAAGTATGTGCCAGTCCTGGAGCTTGAACTCAGGGCCCGGGCACTGTCCCTGAGCTTGTTTTGCCCACAGCGCCACTTCTGGCTTTTGCTATGTATGTGGTCCTGAGGAATGGAACCCAGGGCTTCCTGCACGCTAGGCAAGCTCGCTACCACGGAGCCTCCTTCCCAGCCTCTGTCCACATTTTTACAGAGGTTTCAGATCCTCTGTGTTTGGGTTGGGTTTTGGCTTCATTTGTTTTGAGTCCAGGCAGGCCTCAAGCTCATGGTCCTCCTGCCTCCGTGCCCTCGTGCTGGGTCACAGGACCGCGATCCTGCAACACCAGCTGTTTCAAATCCTTATGGCCAGAAAAGGAACAAGGCCCCCTGTGGAGCTGTTGATCAGCTGACAGGATTCCCATGTGAAACAGTGTTTCCAGAGGCAGATTTGCGACAGTTCAAAGGCCAGGCGGCGGCGTGACCCCATGACAAGCGGCCAGCCTCAGGGGCCCAGGCTGCGCACCTGAAGGTGATGCTGAACGTTGCTGAAGACGTGGAAGAGGACGGCGGTGTGCCCGCAGACGTACAGAAGCACTCGTCTATCATCTCGGATGTACAGGACCGGGAGGGAGCTGTTCCATCCATACGACCAGGTCAGGGTCTGCAAGACCAAGGCAAAACCAGCAAGACACCAGTGAGTGGAGCCCAGAGCCGGGATCCCAGGCCCCTGCGCCCCGCAGCAGGCCCTGGAGAAGAGGCATGACACCTCAGTGAACCGTAAAGAGAAGACATTTAAAGTTCTGGCCCAGGCTGGTGGCTCACACCTGTAATCCCAGCTACTCAGGGGGTTGAGATCTGAGGATCATGGCTTGAACTCAGCTGGGCAGACAAGTCTATGAGACTCTCCAGTGAACCACCATCAAAAAGGAAAAGTGAAGGAATGGACTAAGTGGTAGAGTGTCAGCCTGGAAGGAAAAAAAAAAAAAAGCCAAGAGCTCAAGGCCCAGTACTGGCATAAAAAATTCAATTAAATAAATAGAATAGGAGCCGTAAGTAAATGGAGCGTTCCAAGTGCCAATGTGAGAGATGAGTTTGTTAAAAATTAACAAAGTGGGACTGGGAAGGTGGCTCAGTGGTAGAGTGCTTGCCTAGCATGCATGAAGCCCTGGGTTCCATTCCTCAGCACCACACATAAACAAAAAGGCTGAAAGTAGTGGTGTGGCTCCAGTGGTAGAACACTAAGCCTTGAGGGAAAGACGCTCAGGGACAGTGACCAGGACCTGGGTTTAAGCCCCTCCAGACTGGCAACAAAATTAGCAAATTATATCACAATGCAGAGTCTGGCACTTCCTTTTTCCTATCAGAACAATAGTTAAATATTTATAAAGCGGAATAGATGGACCGTAGTGTAGCCCAAAGACAGACACAGCCGGCTTCTCTCCTAATTCTTCTTCCTCCTTCCTCTCCCGTCTTCGTGCTCAGTCTGAGCATTTCTATTTTTTCAGGCCTCTGCCCATGGGGCTGTGAGGGGTGGAAGATGGAGTCATAATTGTCCCAAGCTGTAACTTCTAGGAACAGAATTGTTTAATACTTGGCTGGTTCTTCACAGTTACCTTATGCAAAGGAAACTGTTCTTTTGGAAACTTAGTAATTTGAAAAGGATAGTTTTGTTCACTCTGGAAACCCCTTTTGCCATATTACAAATTAGTTACAAAAAGGAAGCATTCTTTTTTTGTTGTTGTTTTCAGTGAGGGGGCCTGAACTCTGGGCCTGGGCGCTGTCCCTCAGCTCCTCAGCTCAAGGTAAGCGCTCTACCACTTGAGCCACAGCGCCACTTCTGGCTTTTTCTGCTTATGTGGTGCTGAGGAATCAAACCCAGGGCTTTATGCATGCAAGGCAAGCACTCTACCCCTGAGCCACCTTCCCAGCCCCAAGACCACTGTCTTTGGCACTGCAGTTTTTCCAAGGTCACCTTTGCCTGGGGTGGGGGCACAGCAGAAGGATGGTGGGAAAATGAGATGTTTGCCATTCTCACTGCATGAATGGGAAGACTAAATTCTGGATTGTTCTGGTGCTGGTCCTGGGGCTTAGCTCTAGGCCTCGGGTGCTTCTCTGTGCTTTTGTGCTCAAGGCTAGCACTCTATCACTTGAGCCACAGAGCCACTTCCACCTTTCTGGTGGTTCATTGGAGATAAGAGTCTCACAGACTTTCCTGCGCAGGCTGGCTTCAAACCACGATCCTCAGATCTCAGCCTCCTGAGTAGCTAGGATTACAGATGTGAGCCTCCGGCATCAACAGCCCACTCTACACTAGAAGTTAGGTGAGAAACTCCATATTCTATCCGTCTCTTCCTAATCTTCTACATGCAGAGGGAGGGCAAACCCTAGGAAACAACTTTCAGGAAGAAGAAGATGAAGAAGCAAAAATCCATAGCAACAAAAAGCCCAAAGCCCCTCCTGTCCCTTCGCAAGCCTGGCGATGACACGTCCTTGGAACGTACACAGCGGCAGCAAAGGTGAGTCCTGGGGACTGCGCAGTGCTGCGCACAGTGGTGCACGCCTGCCACACCCGCATACCAGGGGGTGGGCAGCTCACAGCCGGACAGACCCAGCTAAGGCACAGGAGATGAGCCAGGCGCCAGGGGCTCACACCTGCAATCCTAGCTATTCAGCGTACTCTCATCTCCAGTGAACTGGAAAAAAGCCAGAGTGGAGGCGTGACTCAAGTGGTAGAGTGCCAGCCTTGAGTATAAAAGCTCAGGGAGGCCAGATGCCGGTGATTCATACCTGTCACCCTAGTTACTGAGGAGGCTGAGATCTGAGGATTGTGGTTCAAAGCCAGCCCAGGCAGGAAAGCCTGGGAGACTCATATCTCCAATGAACCACCAGGAGTGGCACTGTGGCTCAAGTGCTAGAGAGAGCTACCCTAGAGCTGAGAGACAGCGCCCAGGCCTAGAGTCCAAGCCCCACGACCAACCAAAAAATAAAAATAAAATTAAAAGTTCGCTCAAGGCTGGGAAGGTGGCTCAGTGGCAGAGCGCTTGCCTCACATGCATGAGGCCCTCGGTTCAATTCCTCAGCATCACATAAACAGAAAAAGCTGGAAGGGGCACTGTGGCTCAAGGGGTAGAGCACTAGCCTTGAGCTGAAGAGCTCAGGGACAGCACCCAGGCCCAGACTTCAATCCCCACCACCAACAAAAGAAATAAATAAATGAAGAAATAAATAAATAGCTCAGGGACAGCATCCAGGCTCTGAGTTCAAGCCTCAGGACCACACTTGAGAGAAGAGGCCAGAAGGGATGAAGGAGGAGTGTTACAATGTGGGAGACAGAAAGGAGAGGGAAGGAGGCACAGAAGAAAAAGAAAATGGAAGGCGAGAAGACAGAGGAAAGGAAGGAAAGGAGAAAGGAAGAGAAGGAGGAATTTTCACAGAAACCAGCACCCTATGCAACAGTCAAACTATGTGGGGAATTTCCTGCCTGCCGAGCGGCTCCATTGAGTCCAGATGCAGTTCAAGGTCAGGTTCCCTCACACTTGGCAGCCACAGCTTTTAACTGAACTTAAAAAGTCAGCTGGAAAAGGCCTGACGCGTGTCCTTGCCCTCTGGTGTACACGCACACACACACACACACACACAAGACTCTGTCTCAGAGCCCTGGGGTCAGAGGTATGCCAGGTGCCACTCACCAAGGGGTACACACTGGTGGCATCTTCCTTTAGAAACAAAGTGTCCTCTGTGGAGCTAGACACCAGCGAGTCCTCGGAGAGCTGGGCTCGGGCGGCGAGTTCCTTTACTTGCTTCTGGCTGGGGAAGTAGGGCGGTCTCTGGGACTTCCCTTGCTCCAGCTCTGCCACGGTGATGCTCTTCTTGGGTTCCGAGACTCTCTCTTCCTGGGCGGGCATTTCCTCAGTGGCTCCCCACTCAGGCTCCAGGGGGAACTGGCCCACGGAGGACATCTGGGAGTACTCAGGCCCCAGGGAGCCCGTGTGCTCTTCCTCAGCCGGGAACCGATCAGAAGCAAACATTTCTGACTGGGAGCCCAGGTCTAAGAGCAAGCTGGGCCTACTTCGGTCTGACCTCATCGACTCCATTAACTCCGGATTCTCCATACCCTTTTTGAAAGAAAGGAAAAGAAGATGGTGATCCCAAATACAGACCTCCGGCTCTGTGACTCCCATCTCTTCCTGAGCAGCCAACCTTACCATTAGCGTCATCTTAGAATGAAAGGATGGATAACGAACAGGAACTTGGGACAAGCGGTACCAGCTGACCCTTGATGGCAAAATTATTGTTCTAAGTGCCCTGGCTGGCTCCAAAATTACTTCTTGGGCCAGGGCTGAATTCTTCCCCTGGGGGAGGGGGGGACCAATTCTGTTCCAAGACAAGCTCACTTCCAGAAACCTCTGCCTGCCCTGCCAGGTAGCTAGAGACACACCTCTCCTGAACTTTCCTCCAACCTGAGTTAAACTGTCCTTTATTTTCTGCTCTTGTGCGTTCCTATAAATCATAACGTGTGATTTTTAGAGCATTCAATTATGGGTCTGTCTTCTCATATACTTTAAAACTCCTTAAAAGAATATATTGCAAAGCGCAGGTGGCTCGGGACTGTAATCCTAGCTAATCAGAAGCGGAGATCGGAGAGTGGAGATCTACAAACAAACTGGAAGTGGAGATGTGGCTTAAGGGGCAAAGTGCCAGCCTTGGGCAAAAAAGACAAGCAGAGCTGGAGGACCTGAGCTTCAGCCCCAGTATCTGCACCAAAAAGGAAAGAGACGCTGGTGGCTCACGCCTGTCATCCTAGCTACTCAGGAGGCTGAGATTTGAGGATCATGGTTCAAAGCCAGCCCAGGCAAGAAAGTCCATGAAACTCTTTTTTTTTTTTTTCTAGTCCTTGGGCTTGAACTCAGGGCAGGGCACTGTCCCTGAGCTTCTTTTGCTAAAGGCTAGCACTCTACCACTTGAGCCAGTCTGCCACTTCCGGCTTTTTTGTTTGTTTGTTTATGTGGTACTGAGGAACCCAGAGCTTCATGTATGCTAGGCAAGCACTCTACCACTAAGCCACATTCCCAGCCTCCAATGAACCACCAGGAAACTGGAAGTGGTGCTGTGGCTCTAAGTGGTAGAGCACTAGCACTGGGGGAAAAAGCTCAGAGACAGCACTTAGGCCCTAAATTCAAGCCCCATGACTGACACACACACACACACACACACACACACACACACAAAAGTATACATTATATATAACTTATTTGGTTTTGTATTCTCACATCTGGCATGCACTAAGTATCCAATGAATGGTTCCATATACAAGCCTGGTTTACAATTACTACTTACTTACCAATGAAATGTCTGAAGTGAACTGAAGATTAGCAATAGCTTTGTGCAAGCTGTCAACACCGTGGAGCTCAGTTACGATGTCCTCCTCTTTTTCTCCCTCTTCCTCCCATTCTTTCTCCTCCTCCTCTTTTTCCCTCCTCTCTTCCTCTTCCTCTATCTGCTCTTCTACCTGCTCTCCCTCTAACTGTCCTTCCCCTATCTCTTCTTCTATCAGCTCTTCTTCTATCTGTCCTCCCTCTAGCTGTTCTATCTCTTCTTCTATCAGCTCTTCTTCTATCTGTCCTCCCTCTAACTGTTCTATCTGTTCTTCTATCTGCTCTTCTAGCAGTTCTCCTATCTGCTCTTCCTCAACTCTTTCCTCTTCCCCCATTTCTTCTCCTTCTTCCTCTTCTTCTTCCTCTCCTTCCTGAGATTCTTTCCCTACTAATATGTCATCTTCTTTTGGGTTTTGTTCCATATTTTCTACTTCAAAATTCTGATTTTCTTCTTTTTCTGATTCTCCACTTGTCTTTGCTTTCTCCACAGGATTTCCTTCCGCACTGGACCCTCTTCACCAAGTGTCTGCTAGAGAAATGGCAACGGTAATCAGTGGCAGGTCTGTTGCCTATTCTGACTTCCTGTGCACCATCCTACTCATGAAATGTGCAATGCCAGCTCTTGTTCCTTTGGCAGAAATAGAAAGAATATCTTCTTCTTAGAAAGTCTCACCTGCATCTTAAGAAATTTAAGAGGTGAATCCTCTTTCTAGGAATAATCTTGGTGCCTTCTAACTCATTTAAAATATACTCATACTGCCGGGCGCAGGTGCTCACGCCTGTAATCCTAGCTACTCAGGAAGCTGAGATCCGAGGATCACAGTTCGGAGTCATCCAGAGCAGGACAGTCGGTGAGACCCTTATCTCCAATCAACCGCCAAAAATTCGGAAGTGGAGCCAAGGGCGCCAGAAACGGGTGGAAAAACTCAGGGACGGTGCCCAGGCCCTGAGTTCAAGCCCCAGGACCGGCACCAGAAAGCAAGCAAACAAATGCATGCGCATAGCGGCTCTCCAGGGGGAGGGAGGGGCTTCGGAGTTGGGGGTTGTCGGGGGGCGGGGGGAGGAGACCTAACGCCCAGGCGCGGACAGTTTCTCCAGCTGGGTCCCTGGACCCCTCGTGTCCCCCAGACCCAGGGTCCTCTAGGCCGGGTCCCCTGCCCAGGCTTGTGGCCTCTACCCTGGACTTACCTGGCCCGCCGGCCGGCCACAAGCCACCAGCGGCCGCCACCTCGGCCTCTGCGCGCTCCTGGTTACAGTTGCTACCCAAGCTCTGTCCCCATGGCAACCGCTGCTGCGCCCCAGCCTCCAGCCGTAAAGCAAGGGTGTGGGGGGGCGGTGTGTGTGTACGCGCGCGCCCTCTGCTGGCCGGGATGCCCCCTGCGGGCCAGCGCGCCCCCTGCGGGCCGGGGCGGCAGCACGCAGTCACAGGGGAGCCGCCGAGGCCTGCGGAGCCCAGCCAGGCCCTGGTGCACAAGGCCAGGCCGTCATCATCTTACATGAGCGAGCGTGAGGGGGCTCCCCCGCTCCCCCACCAAGCCCGGGATGCTGCTAAGTGGACTCCTGAGTGTAGAGACCAAAAAGAAAACAGGGGTGAAGTGGACGTCCAAGTTGTTTTATTATAGTCTAAGGCTTGCAAAGAGAGCCTGGAAAATACTTGGGATTTTCCACTGGGCAACACTGGTGCAAGCAGGTCTGTGGCTACAAGAGAAGACACGAGGCTGAGTGGCAGGGACACAGCCAGGCTCTGGGGTGGAGGGCAGAGCCGGCACCCAGAAGCCCACACCGGTAAGCACGCCATGGGGCAGGCCGCTGTCTGCACCCGCGCTGAGCAAACCCAGACCGCAGGGACACTGGCCTTCTTGGCAGAAGACGCCACATCTCCGACAAAACAGAAGCAGAACAAGTAGCTCAAGTACAGCGGTGTGCCAGGAAGAGGAAGGACCGACAGGGACTCTCTAGGAATCACTAAACCCATTTTACCACCATCAAATGGTTACACAGGGCTGGGAAGGTGGCTCAGCGGTAGAGTGTTGGCCTCGCATGCATGAGGCCCTGGGTTTGATTCCTCAGCACATGCGCAGAAAAAGCCAGAAATGAGCACTGTGGCTCAAGTGATAGAGCGCTAGCCTTGAGCTCCAAAAAAAAAAAAAAAAAGATGGTAAAACAAAGTGCAGTGTAAAACAAGAGGAAGAAGCAGCAGCATTTCAGGAGGCTGGGTCTGAAAACACTGTTTCTATCAGCAACATGGAGCACACACACTGGAGTTCATCTCCAGGTATCTCTGGCAGGTTCAGTTACAAAAGTCAAATTAGGGAATGGAGGCATGGCTCAAGTGGTAAAGCACCTACCTAGCAAGTGCAAGGCCCTGAGTACAAACCACAGAACACCAAAAAGCCAAATTAGAAGCTAATTTTCAGGAGTTTTTTTTTTTTTTTAAATTCTAGAAATGAATTCTAGACTTTGTGCTCTCTGGTGGGAGAGTTTCACGGTGGGTGAGCTGGGAGGCTTCCTTGCTTTCTCCCTTCTCCAAAGAGCTACGGTGGCCGGGGAGGCCCAACTTCTGAGGATACAATAACTATTTAGCTCTTCCTGCCTTGAGAGCAGCACTGCTCCGGTGAATAAGAGGTGCTGTTGAAATGCCGCCTTCAGTGGCTGAGGGCAGGGCCGGGCTGAGCACTGCCCAGCACTGCAGAAAGAAAAAGAAAAAAGAGAAGAACGAAGAGAGAGGGGAAAGAAGGCAGGGAGGGCGGGAAGAAGAGAGGGAAAAGAGAAGAAAGCAGGAAGAAAGAAAAAGACAGGGAGGGAGGGGGGAGGGAGGGAAGGGAAAGTTAAGGAAGAGAAAGAGAAGGGAAGGGTCTTGACGACAGCACAGCTGCTGGGTGTTTTGTTTTGTTTTGTTTTGCCCAATTTTCTTTTCAGAAATCACAACCTGGTCTCAGCTCTGGCTTGAGAGGTTCTTCAGAAATTCAACTTTGGCGCTAAGATGGTCTTACCAGCACGGCAAAACTGGGTTTATTTGAAGAAAAAAAAATATCTTCAAAAAATAAAGTCTGATCAGCACCTGCCAGAATAACTCCCAGTCACCTGCCAGGAATCTAGAGAATTCTATGCAGGGCCGTGACCCAACATGTAAAAGAGACAAACACAGATGACATTTTCACAATGCCTTCATCTGAGGTTACACTGGGAGGCCCGGCCCTGCGACCACACCACCTCCATGTCCACGCAGGCTTCCAGCCCCTTCCACTCTCTTCAGGGGCTGAAGAGAACGAGACGCCCCCAGGCCCCAGTGAGGCCGGGCTGCAGCAGCTTCCTGCGGAGGCTCCAGGCGTCATCTTTGCAGAGGAACGATGTTGCAGCTGGAAGGGAAGCAGCCGAGGCTTAGCCGCAGCGGGTGCTCAGGAGGATGAGCCGCCGCCCTCTCCCATTTTTATTTTATTTGGGGAGGGGAGGGAAATGGTCTTACCATGTTGCTCAGGCTGGCACTGAACTCACAATCCTCTTGCCTTGGTTTCCCAAGTGCTGGGATTACAGAGAAGCTCATCAAACCCAGCATCTTTCCTTTCTCCTAACACAAATGCTCAGGTAGAGTTGGGCTGGGAATGTGGCTCAATTGCTGAGCATTTGGCTGGCATATGCAGTCCTGGGTTCAATCCCCAATACCTTTTTTTTTTTTTTTTTTAAAGCAACTGCTTTAAAGAGAGGAGAGAAAATGAGTCTCTTAGGAGAATCCAGGACTTCCTTGGCCTCTCTGGCCTGAGCTTCATTCCTAACACAAGTATTTATCTCCAGTTATGCCCGTTGGGGGCGGGGGGGGGGGGACTCCTATGACTCACCCCCAGCTCTGTGTCTAACTTAGTCCACTGACACTGCAGTTTGCATGAACAAAGAATGAAGCTGAGCCAGGCGCCAGTGGCTACTCAGGAAGGAGATCTGAGGATCACGGTTCAAAGCCAGCCTGGGCAGAAAAGTCCCCGCACTAATTTTTTTTTTTTTGTCGGTCGTGGGGCTTTTTTTGTCAAACTCTGGGCTTGGGGTCCCCGTGATACTCTTATCTCTAACTCACCACTCAAAAACTGGAAGTGGAGCTGTGGCTCAAAGTGGTAGAGCACTAAACTTGAGCAAAAAAGCTCAGGGACAGCACCCAGGTCCTGAGTTCGAGCCCCATGACTGACCAAAAACAAAAAGAATGATGCCGATACTTTACCCCAGCAGTCCCCTTCCCGTCCAGCGAGATGGGACAAGCCTGAGCTGGTGCTTCTCACCTCGACGGATCACGGTCACATTCAGGGGTTTCTGAGAAGAAAAGATCATTTCAGTGTCAATAAGACGTTCAACACAATATTCAAAGGGTTTGGGTTAAAATGCTGAGAGGCCCTTTGTGGCTGAGCAAACTGATTTGTATTTCAAGCATAATTCAGACTCTGACCATGGATTTCCAATCCTAGAACCGTGAGCTGCCCCAAGCCAGCCCGTGTCCACCAGGGAAGGCCCGGGGGACCCCACGTACCCCCTCACTGTGCTGCACCACACTGCTGATGTTGTGAAGTGACTGGAAGTTCTGGGGGTTCACAGAGCCAAACTCCACAATCTCGTCATCCACTTGCAGACCCTAAAGAGAGAAGAGGAAATGAAAACCCAGGCGAGAGGTCAAGTCTGCCCCAGGTTATTCTGGCCTTCAATATCCAACTTAACATCCAAGTGAGGAGCTTATTTCCTGCAGGGAAGCGTGACGGGCTCACAGAGCATCATATACTGGAAGTGGCAGGCGTGGCTGACAGCTGCTGCTGTCCTTGGGGAAGATGGGAAAATCCAAGGGCTGCTCTTTGGGGTCCCCACCCAGCTGCAAAAGCAGGAGGCAGACCGGCATAACCCCATTTTGTTAGGGGACAAAATTTAGACATTTGGGGCTGGGAAGGTGGCTCAGTGGTAGAGCGCTTGCCTTGCACGCATGAGGCCTTGGGTTCGATTCCTCAGCACCACATAAGCACAAAAAGCTGGAAGTGGCGCTGTGGCTCAAGTGGTAGAGCGCTAGCCTTGAGCTGAAGAGCGTGGGAACAGCACCCAGGCCCAGAGTTCAGGCCCCAGGAACATTTGCCCTGGAAGCCCCCAAGCAAGTAGCCAAAGGCGCCAGGCCGACCAGAGGGGGTGTGCCCTCCTTTTGTCATGCCAGAACATCCACCACCCCGCACTACCCCTTGGACATGGCCTACTGCGCAGCATTGTGCAGATGCAGCTTGTGCAGCTGGCGTGAAGCCGAGCGTAAGTGTGCCTCACTCAGTCTGTGATCTCAGTGATCATATGACCACGGGGAGCAGTCATGACCCAGAGCTGTGTGTTCTGGCACAGGTCATCTCAAGTCTGCGAGGCTTTTCCTCATGGGTTAAATGGGGGAAGGTCAATGCCCCCCGAGAGGGTGGTGTGGGGCTACGTTTAGACAAGCGCCCACACAGGATTATTCACAATCGCCATAAGGTGGGAACTATCAAATGCCCATTCACTGACAGATTAAAAAAAACAAGGTCTGAAGCCAGGTGCTGGTGGCTCACGTCTATAATCCTAGCATCTCAAGAGGCTGAGATCTGGGGCTGGGAAGGTGGCTCAGTGGTAGAGTGCTTGCCTTGCATGCATGAGGCCCTGGGTTTGATTCCTCAGCACCACATAAGCAGAAAAAGCC